AGGGAGGGAGGAAGGAAGGAAGGAAGGAAGGAAGGAAGGAAGGAAGGAAGGGAGGGAGGGAGGAAGGAAGGAAGGAAGGAAGGAAGGAAGGAAGGGAGGGAGGAAGCAGTTCAGCAAAACTAACCGAGGCATTAACAGTGTATGTAGTGCTCCACGCCCACCGACTTTCAGTGCTGTAGAGAACTGAGGTATGTTTTCTCCTCTTTTCTGAGAGGAGAACCAGTCGATTATAATCACACACTAGCATTCAGTCAGTTTTCTTTGTTGTTCTTTCCATGGATATTGTTCTAGTCGTGGTATCGGTGGTTTTCCCAGCTGGTTCTGCTCCCTCCCTCTGCATCAGTCAATAGAAGCCTCCTCAAGGTTTGCTGGATTCTTCTTATGTAACCATTGCCCAATCAGCAGGTTTCTGCAATATTTCTGTCATACTTTGCTACCACAAAGCAAAGAGTTATAACTATTTCCTCGTAAATGGGATTATATGCCCAACATGGCATGTCTAAATCAAAGGGTATGGATACTAACACACTCTTGGTGGAACTGTGAATTGGTTTGACTATTCTGGAAAATCAATGAACTCTTCCTACTCTCACTGTCATACATCTAATGGGGGAGACCTTGGGCTGCCTCAATTTTCTTGGGTCTCTTATTAAGCAGCTCTCTTGCTTTTCCTCTCAAGCCTTCAGAAAGCCAAAGGAAGACATCTGAATTCTCTCCAAAACATTGAAACTCTACCCAGCTGGGGCACAGCTGTGTCAGGAACCTTATTTAGGAAGAAGTTCCTGTTTTCAGAGGGGCGATGCTGAGCTTTTGCTTTAAATCTTCTATTTGAGGACCATTGTGCAGCAACCCAAACCCAAACACAGGATGGGATGGCCTCCCTGAAAACAGAAGCTGAAGGGGCTGCTTCCCAGGGTGGGAAGTCGTTAGGCAGAACTCCAGGAGCAGAAAAGAAAGTCACAATCATCCAGGGATCTACTGGACCATTCTGTCTCCCTGACCATCGCTCTGTCTCTGTGTGTTGGGTCTGTCTGTTTCTATCTTTTTCTGTATGTACGTGTGTATGTGTGTGTCTGTGTCTCCATTTATCTCTCTATCTCTGTGTGTCTCTCTGTCTCTCTCCCTTTCCTCTCTCTCCCTTTCCTCTCTCTCCCTCTCCCTCTGTCTCTCTCTATCTCTGTCTCTCTCTCTGTCTCTCTCTGGCTCTGTCTCTCTCTCTCTCTTTCTCTCTCTCTCTCTGATCTACAAAGTACAGAGTGGCTGCAGATGGTACACACACTTGCTCTGGGGTAAGAAGGTCAGCACTTTAGAGGTGGGAGCTCCCGTTGCCTGGCAGCTGCTCTGTGCGTCACTGATGACTGACATGGAGACTGAGAACATAAACAGGAAACTCTTGTCTGAGCCTCACACATGAACCTCTTATCTACCCTGCATGTGTCACAGGGCAACCAGCTGTCCCTCGATTTTCTGACCTTTGGTCAAAGGTTTTCTTATTAAGAAAACAACCAAGCAGCCCAAGTCTCAGTCCCCAGCCATCTGCACCTGCTGTGGACAGGCATCGATTGCCCTCAAGACCAGCCTCTTTGCCAAAGTCCACACAAACCTTCTTAGCCCACAGTAGAGCAAGGTGCGCCATTGACTCTAATCATCAGGTACAACAGTGTCTCCCCGCCTGGGGCATGCATTGCTCTCCCTCCCTTTGCTGCTCTCCAATGAAATTGGGAAGTAGGGTGGTAGGAGTACCCAAGCCAGATCCAAGCCGTTGCTTGGGGGCTCCCAAGAATGATGGGCTGGGGAGGGTGCTGCCACTTCAGCCCAAGGACACGCCTGCTAATGGAAGAGTATGGGGTAGCCAAGGGGCACCTCCCTTTCTCCTTCCCCTTCTTCATGGCCACGGTCTGGCCAGCCACTGCTACAGACCCCAGGACTCTGGAGAGCTGCTGGGGCAAAGTGCGACTCAGGAAACACAGTTATGCCTATTCTTTTCTGGGGTTTCTTGAAGGGTAGCACAGGAAGAACAGGAGTCCCCAGATTCCCAGGCACTGAGAATACGTCCAATGCTATGGAAACTGACAGATACCCTGAAAACCCCTGAAATACTTTGCTATCTTGTGCTCGCTGACAGGCTAAACATTCCAAGCTCCTTCGGCTCTTTCAGGTTTGGTGGGTTGGGGGGGTCTTTGTCCCCCAGAGTTGAGCACAGAACTTGGCCTATTGCTCATATAACATAGACTTGATGGTCTTTCCCTCTCCTGGACAGTCCCCAAGCTCATCAATGTCTTTCCTAAACTGTGGTGCCCATAAATGAACTCAATCTACAGCACACAGGGTCTGCCCTGAGCAGGGGACGCCATGCTGTCACTCTCTTGGTGCTGGAAGCTCTGTCTACCCCACTGACACCCAATTAGCTTTGTGGCTGCCACATCCTCCTCTTCTGCCTTTGGAAAACCAGGACAGCATGTGCTCTCTCCAGTCCTGTGCCCTCTCACCTGCGCTTTCCTGGATCTTTGCAATACACCTGGCATATCTGCAGTCCCATCTGCCCATCCCTTCTTTCTTCACCTGCAAAAGCATGGCCATCATTCCTCTTAATTCAGCAAGGGCAGCTGGGTGCTCTCTTCTCTCTCATTATTTATCTTGGGGATGAGTGCCTGTCAGCCGCTTCTGTTCCATTTCCAGTACCCAAGTCATTCTTCTTGGCAAAGAAAACAAACACAAAATATCAATGGAGCAACTCAACCTTCTCCCTGGTGTCCAGGACCTTCATCCTACCCACCAGACACAGATTCCCTAGCAGAGACAGATACAAAGACAGGGAGAATGACAGGCAGAGACGAAGAGACAGACACACAGAAAGAGGTAGAAATAGACACAGAGAGATAGAAACAGACACAGACACAGACACAGACACAGTGATACCTGAAAGACAGAAAAAGAGAGAGACAGAAACAAAGACACAGAGAGAGACAGAAGCACAGAAAGACAGAGACAGACAGCAACCGAGAGACACAGAAACACGAAGATATAAACAGGCAGAGAAGACGCTAGCATACTCATGGATAACTGCAGCTACCCTTCCTCTCCTCCCCTGTCACATCTCTGCTTCCTAAAGTCTCTGTCTCCCTGCATTCAGGTGGTCTATACCACAGTGTACCCCATTGGTTTATCCCCACTTTGGTCTTTGCCAGAGTGCTCTGCATCATGCTGATGCAGCTACTGGGGTCCTGGGGTTCCTCACTTTGGAATAGACAATAGCCTCCCACCCCTCCCCCTTTACCTGGTTCCTTCATTGCTTTTCTCCCCAAAGGAAATCATCTTTTTATTACCAGCAGCATACATCTGCCCACATCTGTTCTATTAGTCTGCAGGATTTTTTTTTTCAATTTGACCCCTCCCTATCTGTCTGACAGTGTTTGGATTTGCCTCTCCTGACCCAGAGCACCTATTAAAAGGAGGAACTATGAGCATGTTTCCCTGGATAGTTTTAGATAGAATTGGGCTGGGGGGGCAGTGGAAGTGGGAAAGGGGAGATAGAGTCCCCCAGCCCCCCCCCCCACCGGTAGCCACTAACAGCCTGTTGGACACTTCCATCTGTCTCCTTTGGGTTTTTTTAACCCCATTTTATTTTTTGGAGAGAATGAGAATGGGAAGATCCATATAGCCACATCCACCGAGTCATAACACTCTAACTTCTAGGGACAGTATGAGCAGAGTCTAACTTCTCTCCACTGGGGGCCAAACGAGAAGGAACTCTTCACTCCGTCCAGATTCAGGTGGGAGCATCCCAATTACTCTACAGGCTTGCATGGAGCTCACACGGGAGAATTGATGACATAAGCAGGGTGACTTCAAAGAGCCTGGGGTCCTTTTCTTTGGGGCTATGTAGGGCCTAGAGTGTTGCACACAGAGAAGGAGCCAAGTAAGGCCTCATCTTACCCTTTTTTAAGGGCACTCCACATGACAGTGGTGAGGGTTCTAGCCTTGACAGCTCTTGATGGAAATACAGGAGCCAGGAGGTAAAAAGCTCCAAATGCCAAAGAAGCTTATCTTGTATTGAATCCTGGGGGCAACAGGAAGCCCTAGAGTATACTGAGTGGGGGCGGGGGAGGGTGACATAGTCAATCTGTATTTTAGGAAAATTACTTTGGTGGCTGAACAGAGGATGGACTGGAGTGGGGAAAGACCTGAGGCAGGCAGACCCTTCCCCTTCCCCCACCCCCAGGCAGCTACTGCACCAGGGAGGTGACCATGTCAGAAGAGAGATGTTGGAAAGGTAAAAATCGACAGGCCTTAGCAATAGTGTGGATACGGAGGGTGAGAGGGAAGTGAGTCCGGGCCATCTCCTACGTTGTGATCCTGAAGCACTGGGGGGATGGGGATGACCCTGTAATAGAGAAGTAATAGAGAAAGGGGCAGGGAGGAGGGTTTGGGAGAGAGAATGAGTTCCATCTTAAACATACTGAGTTGAGTGGACATGTAGTACGAGATGTCTGAGAAGGCAGATGGAGGTGCGAGATTGGAGGTCAGCAGAGAGCCTGGAGGAGGAAAGGGAGATCTGAGAATCCTCAGCCTAGATCAGTGATAAGGCAAGGAGGCAAGGGACCCAAGAGGATGGTGTAGAATGACTCTGGTTCACCAAGGGCTCAATTTAGGGAAGGGAAGAGAGAGTAGCCAGTGAAGGGGGGATGGGCTGGGAAAGAGCTGAGGGGTCACAAAGAGGATGAAGCGGAAGCTGTGGATAGAGGGAGAGCTAGAAAAGGCTGTGATTGGGTGAAGGACCTTCACAGATTGTGAACACGGAAGGGCAGCACTTGTGGGGGATGACAAGGGTCCAACCACCTTTGTGTGTGGCTAAGGTGTGGGTGGGAGTAAGTCATGGGAAACAAGTTAAGGAACTGGGAGGGTCCAAAGGAATGTTAACACCTTCTGTGTGAGGGCAGGCCCTGGGGAGGAGAGAGAGAGACTGGAGGAAGGAAGGGGGAGGTGTCCTGGGGGGTCAGTAGACAACAGCCACCAGAATCTGCACTCTCCCTGGGGGTGGCACTGGGGCAGCCCAGCTTTCCTTCCCGAAGCCAGGCCTCCAATGGCAGGAAAGGCCCTCACAAAGGGTCTGTCACAATGGCCCAGCTCTGCCTGGAGAGCTGGGCCTGCCCGGTTCACAGCCTTCCTTTTCCGCAGACGAGAACCCTGAAGGACTTCCCTGTCCTTCTCCCAGAGAGCCTGAATTTCCACCCCAGACAGAGGCTGAAGGTGGAGATGGAGACAGGAAATTGTTTCTAAGCATGTGCTAGACCTTAATTGCTTTCAAATTTGGAGTCCAAATAAATCCCCAGGGTGTGCCCAGTCCAAAGAGAGGATGGTCTCTAGTAATGCAGGCATTACTGTCATTTTCTTAATGGATATCTTAGCAAAGATGCTGATGGCCAGTTGTCAGGGGGAGGTGCTTGAGCCTTCATCTGGCCCAGGTTTAGGGTAGTGGGGTGAGGGGAGAGATCCTAGACTTCAGAGGCCATTGAGGCCAACACCTTCGTTTCACAGATGAGGAACCTGAGACCCCAGGGAGCCCAGGAGCCAAGGCCATGGGGCAGGGGCATGTGTGGGGGGCTGGCTTGGGAGGCTGCAGCCCAGGCTGTTCTCCCACCCCCACTGTCCTTTCCCACTCTGAGATTTACAGCAATTAGGTGATGTGGTGGGCCGCAGGTATTGTTGTCCTGACTTTAAAGAGCAGGAAACTGAGGCTTGATCCGGGGATTATGACCTTGGTCCCATGGCTGTCAGCACGCTGCTTGTGGGGCTAGGCCATGCCACAAGGAGAGCAGCCTGATGTGGGGCAGGCCCTTCCTCTATCTGGACACAGCTGCCTCAAGAAATGCTATCCCCTTATATTTGCCAACCTTCCCATGCTGGGTCAAACGGACAGAGACGAAAGTCCTCACTGAGTGGCTGGGCTGATCTCAAGCCAATAACCTGGGCATTTATGGGATACTCCCTAGCTAGCCAGTACATCCTCCAGCTACCTCTGGTCTCTCCCCACCCCCCCACCCCCCACAGCTCCTGGCAGCCTCTCCCTGTGAGACCATGAGGATGCCTGGGATGGCTAGAGTGGACGGTGCAGGAGGCCGGGGATGGCTACGGTGGATGAAAACAGACCACTTGGATGCTGTGCACAAAGCAGGAGAAGGAGCCACTGGACAGACCCCAGGCAGAGGGTGGTCCAATGTTACCATACGCTCCTTCACCCAGATGGCCAACATGCACTGTGCCTCCCTCCCCAGGCTTGAAACACAGATTCTTGGGATGACTGAGCTGGAAGAGGCCCGTCATTATTTTATATAGAGAGCTGGATTGGGGGCCCGAGGACCCAGGCTCAGATCCTGGTTCCACCACTTACTACCGTGTGACGTGGGGCCACTCACTTCCTCCCCTAGGCCTCAGTTTCCTCGTCTGTAAGATGAACTAAATGCCCTAATGCCCCTTTAAACACAGAAGGCGCAGAGAAGGGGAGGGGACTAGAGGTCTGATGGCCTGGCTAACCTGCTCAGGCTTCAGCTGGGGGTGTTGAGTAGGGTCAAGAATGTCTAAAGGGAAGGCCAAAGCCCGGCACACTGATCGCCAGCCCAAGAGCCTTTCAGGGCACTCCTAAGGCGGACACAACAAGAACAAGTAAGGGCACCAGCCAGTGCCATCTCTGTAGCACCTTATAGTCCAATGAGATCCTCTGGCGATCATGGCGGAGGCTCCGGGCTGTGCAGCTGTTTCCCCACAGGTCCTGCTGAGCAAGGCCACGTGCAGAGGAGGTGAAGAAAGAAGTAGAGAAGGAAAGGAGGGCTCTTTATTGGTCTTCCTTTATTGCAGCCTTGGGCCAGCCAACATCGAGACACTGGAGACAGACTTTGCCCTCTCCCCATTCAGGTCCAGCTGGGCCTTTATTTGCCCTTGTTTACCCTGAGCCCTTAACTCACCTTGCACTCCGCAGCCTCTGAGGACCACCAAGGCGTAAATCCTCTGGACTGCTCATCCCCCTCCCTTCCTCTCCTCCTCTCCCCTGTAGCTGTTTTACTGACCTTTGCCAGAAATCCCCCCCCCCCCCCCCCTCCCCCCCCCCCCCCCCCCCCCCCCCCCAAATGCCCAGCTGCTTAGGGCCCTCTAGTTCACCTTGTGGGACCGTGAAGATATTTCTGGAGAGGGAATCTGGAAGCTGCTGGACCCTTTGACCACCCCACCCAGGGCCCAAGGCATCAGGTTATATAAATCGCAAAGTGTATAAGCAAATCCACAAAAAGGTGCTGAGGAGGAGGTGAGGGTTGGCAGCCTTGGGGTTCCACCTTTCCTCCATGGCATTCATCTCCCAACCTCCTCCGCCACCCCCTGCGTTGGTTCCCTGACCCGCCATAGCAATACGTATATATGTACAGTCGTATACATCAGAGCCTGACAGAGCCTCCACGACTCAAAGTCACCACTCAAGGCCAAGATCCAAGGAGAACCAGGGTGCTGGAGTGGGGAAGTGACTTTAGGGACAGTGAGCCAGGGGCTCTGGAGAAAAGAGCTGGGCCTGGCCCGTGGGGGGGGGCGGTGGGCCTTCTGTCGGGTGATCACTCACGGTAGAAAATATACTCGGTGTAAGAGGTCCAAATCTTGTCATCAGCCTGGTCCTGAGCACAGGCACAGGTGCCCGTAGAACTCGATGTCACCATGTGGAAGCCGGCGCTGGCCAGTTTGTCAAAGGCTTGTTCTAGGTAGTTGAATTTGAGGTAGTAGCGGGAAGTATACCGCTCAGGAGGGCGGTCAGGGTCCCGACTCTCGTTCAGGGTTTCCCCAAATACTTCTTTGGCCAGCGAGATCTTGCCACACACCATGATGCGGGCCACACGACGAAATTTGGCATCCGTTTGGCTATCCCGGCCTAGGGTATAGGAACCCCGGTAGCCAAGGGTGATGTAACCACCCTTGCGGGTGGCCACAGCACCGGCCCCGGTTGTCCCCGGGGAGCTGCCTGGGCCACTGGTTGAGGCAGATGAACCCGAGCCATGGTTGGGGTATTGCTCTTCTGAGTCATTTGCCCGGGAGTCATCTGCCATGGAGCTATTGTTCCCAGTCTCGGGGGCCAGGATCTTGACAAGATCTGGCAGTTTGAAGTACTCGGCCTCCCTCTTGAGCCTGCTCCGCTCGGGAAAGTGGTCCGGCAACACCAGCTGGTGGTCTCTCATATAGTCTAACACATAACGAAAGAGGAAGCCGTCTCGATCCACGAAGAACCGCCCTTTGTTGTCATGGGACAAGGACAGGGGATTCTTCTGACTGAACATTTCCCAGAGCAGCGAACCTTGGACGCTGACCAGGGTGGGGTAACGAGTGATATACACCTGGCCCCCCACATTGAGTTCGATGATCTCGGGGAAGGTAGCGAACTCTTCTCTGACTTGGGCATTGTGCACTACGGCCATAATGACCTCTTTAACTGCAAAGGCAAAAGAGACTCGAAATTATGGGGGGAAACGATCCTACCGGCAGTGGGGATGTGCTGGCGCTACCCACAGGCCCTTCTCAGGCAGCCCAGCAGAGCAGCATGGGATCCACTTGGTCATGGGTGTGCCCGGTGTTCTCAGAATGCACTTCAGGCCAAGCAATGCTACCACAACAGGAAGTCCACATTCTGCCTCCTTGCTCCCTCCCTGCTTAACCCTTGAAGGTCAAGCTGGAATCCCAGGCTTCTTAAGAGCAGACACTCCTTCCCCAAGACCTTGTCTACCACCACCTCTAATAGGGATTGCTCCCAAATCTCCCAGGCACCCAGTCTCCAGTCCCATATCTCTAGCTTCTGGATGAATAACTCCATTGGATTTATTCACCATCCATCCATCGGATGTCCCACCACTCAGCCAGGCTTGACTCCTAAAGGGGATTATTTCTGCCTCCCTCCACACCTCCCCATTTCTCTGAACCCTACCCTATCCTGCCAGGCCCAGATCCCCAGCATACACTTGTCGAGCAGGAGGACTGAGGGCCTGGTCCCTCACTGCCTCTCTCCCTCCTACATGAAGCCCAGAGTATCAGAGCTGAAGGGGACAAACCCCTCCATTTTACAGAGGAGGAAACTGAGGCAGCACAGAGAGGTATTGCACACAAGAAATGACAATAGTCTAGATTTGAACCCAGGTCCCCCGGGGGGGGGGGGGGTTTAGTTGAAAAGATGGCAGAGTTTGGAGTCAAAGGACCTGGATTCAGATTCAGACTTTCCTCCGGTGCCCATCTATGATTTTGGATGAGTCGTTTGACCTCTCTGGATTCTGTGAAATGGTCCAGATGAGAGGCAATGAAGGCCTGAGCTAAGGGGCTGTGTGAGTGCCAGGCACTGTGGTAAGCACTTTACAATTGTGATATCACGGTTTCCTCCTAACGACCCTGAGAGGCAGCCATTCATCATTATCTCCATTTTATGTTTCGCTTTTGGTTTGTTTGTTTGTGTTAGTGAGGCAATCTCAATTAAGTTATTAAATGACTTGCCCAGGGTCACACAGCTAGTAAGTGTCAAGTGTCTGAGGCCCGATTGGAACTCAGGTCCTCCTGACTCCAAGGCAGGAGCTCTATCTACTGCATCACCTAGCTGCCCGTATCTCCATTTTATAGTTGAGGAAACTGAGGCACACAGTGGGGAAGTGACTTGTCCAGGCTCACACAGCTAAGAAGTGTACATGAGGCTGGATTTGAATTCAGGACTTCAAGACTCCTGGCCCAGCCCAGCTGCCTTTCAATAGAGGTAAGGGGACAATAAGCTGGAGAGATAGTATCCGGATAGGACTGACAGAATTTGTGAAGTGATTAGATATTGGGGGGGGGGTGGGGGGGAGAGAGATGTCAAGGGTTGGGAGTCTGGAGGACTAGGAGGGTGCAGACATTCCTTCACAATAACAGGAAAGCTGTGAAGGGAGTGGGGGTTGGGGGGGGGAAAGGTCAGAAGTCCTTCGATTTTGAAATTCTCTAAAAACCAAGGTTCAGCATTTTCCATGACCTCCCTGGAATTAGGGAGACCCAGAAGGGAAGAGTCGCCTGGTCTCTGTCACCTGTCAATCAATCTATTGGTATTGATATAAACAAGCACAGTTCCAGAGAAATACACAGCGGGCTCTGTTCCCCTGGCCGGTTCACCACTTCCACTGAGAACATCAAAGTTTCCCTGGAGAGGGCAGCCTCTTACCTGGTTAATTGCCTTCTAGTCAAGGTTAGTTTTGTGATATGTTTGGAGGGTTTGATGAACAGGCTGGAAGCTGGAAGCCCCTTAATTCATGATTTTCCTTAGTGAGTGTCTCTCCTTAAACAGCTGGCCCGGCTGCTGGATCCTGCTGGTCTGAGCAGCTCCCGTTCAACTGAGGGAGGGAGGAGGGGAGGGGAGGAGGGAGGGAGAGAGGGAGGGGCTTGGTTTTTCTGTGATTCTGATGTTGGCAAGAGCATCGCTGGCAAAATTCTAGTGATGATGGCATCATTGCTAGGCAACAGGTGAGCCACTGAGAGCCCAGCCTGGCCCACTGCAGGAACAGCTGTGGTCCAGCCTCTGAGCCATAACCAGCCGGGAGAGCCAACTAGCTCCTTGGAAAGTGATCATCAAACTTCCTCGTGTCCCTCCAGGCCCCACTGGTGGCTGCAAAACTCAGAGGAGAGCCAGATGGGTCCTTGTCTCAGCAAAGACGGCCCTTTCTCATCAGCCCCAAAGAGGACAAAACTGGACCTTCAGCTCGAACTCTGAACCCTCAGCTAAAGCTGTTCCCAGTATGGGCCCATTTATAGGAACTCCCTCCACCGAGGCAGGGGGAAGTCCCTCTCTGCCTTCTTGGCTAAGGCTTAGGGCTCAGAAAGGTAAAGAGACTTGTTCAAGGTCACACGGGCCAGAAGTGTGGCCGGTGAGGTTTTAACCCAGGCCAGCTAGCTCCTCTTTCTGGTGGTCTGCTTTTTACTATCATCCCTGTCAAACTGCAGATAATGGGCAGCGATGAGTGGGCTGGAGGTATCGGGAGAGATCGTGGGCTTTCAAGTCAAGAGACCTGCGTTCTCTGATCTCCTCGGCTCTCCTTAACTATCTGGGGGAACTTGGGAAAGCCCCTTGTGTTCTGCACCTCCAGGTCCTGGGGCTTAGACGACCCCCAGAGCCCTTCCGGCTGTCCCCCACTCGCCACTCCATTTCCTCTGGTGCTCCCCACCTCGGCACAGGGCTGGCTGGGTAGACGGCTGCCCCCTCGCTGGGCTGGGCCACTCCGCACCGCCCCTCCACCCCTCCTCCTCCAGCCCCCATCGGGGTCCGACTAGGGCTGGCTACCGCAGCTGGACTGCGGGCCCCTCTCCATGGCGGCGGCGGTGGCGGCCGAGTTGGGGGGAGGCCAGGCCAAGCCAGGGCAGCGGCTGCGGCCCGAGCGGACCTCTGCAGACCTGCCTGCGGCTCCCACCCCCACCCCCAGCACACGCAGGGCAGCACGTGGACTCCTTCCTGCTGCAATCGTTTCTGCAGCCCCAGCGTTAGCCCCCTCCCCGGCTTGGAAATTGGGAGCCCTGGGCCAGCCCGCCCCCCCACACTCCGTTCCCGTCCTTCAGGCTGGCCGTGGCTGGGTTCCTCTGCCCCCCCCCCGCCAGCCGCCAGCCCCAGCCTCGTACCCAGTTTAGCGAAGGCGAGCTGAGGATCTGCAAGCCTGGTGGGGGCGCCCCCCTTCTCAGGCAGTGAGCAGCTCTGTGATCCGAGACAGGCGGACTGGAGCCCCAAGGGTCGAACTGCAAGTGAAGGCAGGAACAGTCGTCAGTGGTGAGTAGAGCCTCCCCGCCCCTCCCCCGGCCCCCCCACCCCCCCAAGCTGCAAAGAAAGGAGCAACACTTCAATAAGTTGGTAAAGGGCATGAGGCAAGGGGGCCTGGGGGATGTGGGGGAGTCCGGTCAAAGACCCCCCGCACACACGCCCCGGCCCCCTTCCCTCCCCAGCTTCGGATCCACTGCAGGGATTGGGGCCGGTCCCACAGCAGACGAGCAGCTGCCGTGCTTGCCCTACCTGAGTCTCTCTCAGCAACGCTGCGGCTGCTCACAGGGTTTCTTCAGCTCCCCGCTGCTCCATGGCCCCCAACCCTGGCTCAGCTGCCACTTGGCCTTCTCCCACTAGCCTCCCTCCCAAGTGGAGACTGCGAGCAGCGCGAGCACCAGTGAGAGAGAGAGAGAGAGAGAGAGAGAGAGAGAGAGAGAGAGAGAG